GAATTTGAAACTTTTAACAACCATACCTTGATGAATGCTTCAAGAGGGATGAGATTTAGTTTAGATAGATTTGTTCTTGGCTGGAATATGAGTATTTCTTGTATGAATTTCGAGATTGAGAGTGAGAGAAAGAATAGAGAAGGTTTAAGTGGGTGAAGAGAATAATGTGTTGGGAGAAAAAGGAAAGGAAAGGTGGATGGGAGGTGTGAGTGGGACCATGGGAATAATCTTTTTGCTTTTGGTGGTCTTCATAATTTCCCACTAACACAAGCATCTTTTACATAATTAATATAAGAGTTTTATAAAACTTATGTAAAGTTTATCAAAATAGAGTTTTATAAAATTTTAATGTAAAGTTTATAAAAAGGGAGTGTTTTATAATAAGATAGGTTATTATTTGATTATAACAATCTACTTTGATTTGAAGTTTAATTATAACATTCAAGTTTGATTCTTTTAATTTAATTAGAGCATTATACTTTGATTTTAATATGGTATCATAATTTAATTTGATTATAGTTATAACGTTGTACTATACTATGTTGCTATTAACGTCAATTTATATCGTAGTGTATGGGTTTTGATCCTATTAGCGTCAAGTAATCTTGAGTAGGGTTTATTAAATTTCCAATTGGGTTGGGTTGACCCGAATCCATTTTAGGCGGATGTCACACATGAGTCGATATTTGAGCATACTGAGGAGAGACATTCGGGAGTTCGTGGCAAACTCGACGTACCGAACATTTGCCGAGCTCCAGGCAAATGCTCGGAAGAGAGAGATTGAGCTAGAGACTCAGGCCAGGGAGGAGGCCAAGTCTCAGAGGAGGGACAGGCGGCCGATGCAGTCTCAGCCGACAGCCAAGCGGGCAAAGCCCGCCGATACAAGATCTAGAGGCCAGAAGGGCCGCACTTGTGGGAAGTGCGGTAAGGGACTTGATGGAGTTTGTCGAGCAGGTGCTTGCTACAAATGTGGCAAGGAGGGGCATATAGCCAAGGATTGCCCCAAGGGATTTATGGTTTGCTTTCACTGCAACCAGACAGCCCAACGGAAGGCCGAGTACCCACAGCTACTTCAGGGATCAGCACAGGGATCTTCACCTGCTGCTAGAGCGACCGAGGTCCGGCCAGCAAAGGCCGAGGCACCGAAGGCTCGCGGGAGAGCCTTTCAGTTGACAGTGGAGGAGGTCCGCGCAGCGCCCGATGTCGTGGCTGGTATGTATTCTTTTATTTACTTATACTGAGTTTGAGATATTGTGCTTATTCTGTGGTATGCATAGCTACTTTTCTTGTGAGTTTTGTACCTGCTTTGGTGTTATTTGACTCGGGTGCGAGTCGATCTTTCGTGTCATTAGCGTTTAGCCAGCACATCAGTACCCGGCGAGAGGCGTTGAGTCGACCTCTATGAGTTTCCATAGTTGACGAGCGAGCGGTTTATGCTACTGATGTGATTCGAGGATGTGTGCTCGAGATTTTCAGTGTTGAGTTGCCGATAGATCTGGTACGATTGTGATGGGTGATGTCTGTGTCATCGTGGGCATGGACTGGTTGAGCCGATTTGGAGCTGTTATACATTGCGAGCGGCAGTTGGTGACCATATGAGATCCCCCACCGAGATCAGGAGTTTTGTGGGGTTGGCCGGCAATTATCGGAGATTTATCCGGGATTTCTCCAAGATTGTCATCCCCCTCACCAGATTGACCCGGAAGGGCGTTGCTTTTTCTTGGGGTCCAGAGCAGCATACCTCGTTTGAGACCTTCACCAGAGACTATGCGAAGCGCCAGTGTTAGCCCTTTCGGAGGGGATGGAGGATTTTGTGGTTTACTGTGATGCGTCTATATCAGGGTTGGGTGCGGTGCTTATGCAGAGAGGGCACGTGATAGCATACGCATCGAGGCAGCTGAAGCCTCATGATAGGAGGTATCCCACCCACGATTTGGAGTTGGGGGCAGTAGTGTTCGCCCTCAAGATATGACACCATTATTTGTATGGGGTTCGATGTACTGTATACACGGACCACAAGAGTTTGAAGTATCTGATGGATCAGCGCAACCTGAACATGCGTCTGAGGAGATGGTTGGATGTGGTAAAGGATTATGACTGTGAGATCCTATACCACCCGGGCAAGGCTAACGTGGTGGCCGATGCTCTGAGCCGCAGGGCGGAGAGCGCCCCGATTCGAGATATATGCATGAGGATGACGGTGAAGAATCCGGTATTAGATACCATCCGAGGGGCCCAGGCAGAGGCTGTGAGACCAGAGAACCTCAAGAGGGAGCGGGTAGTTGGGCAGGTATCCGAGTTTGTGATGGATAGCCGAGGGATGAGGACCTTTCGAGGTCGGATATGGGTGCCTTATACGGGCGGGGCACGTAGCATTCTGATGGAGGAGGCGCATAGATCGAGATTCTCGATCCATCCCGGGGCCACTAAGATGTATTTGGACCTGAAGAGAGACTATTGATGGCCCTGTATGAAGAGGGATGTTGCATGGGTAGTAGAGAGGTGCTTGACCTGTCGTCGGGTTAAGGCCGAGCACCAGCGTCCGCATGGCAAGTTGCAACCACTAGAGGTTCCCCAGTGGAAGTCGGAACAGATTTCTATGGATTTTATCACCAAATTGTCGAGGACCGCGAGGGGTGTTGATGCAATTTGGGTGATTGTGGACCGGCTGACAAAGAGCGCTCACTTCCTTGCTATCAGTGAGAGCTCTTCTCGGAGAGGCTGGCAGAAATATATGTGAGAGAGGTGGTGTCGCGGCATGGAGTGCCGATCTCGATTGTGTCAGACCGAGATGTACGTTTAGTTCCAGGTTCTGGAAGAAGTTTCATGAGGATTTGGGTACGAGATTGCACTTCAGTATTGCCTCCCACACATAGACGGACGGCCAGAGTGAGCGAACGATTCAGACACTCGAGGACATGCTTCGAGCATGTGTTATGGACTTCGATGGAAGTTGGGCCACATACATACCTTTGGCTGAGTTTTCTTACAATAATAGCCACCATTCGAGTATTGGTATGCCTCCCTTTGAGCTTCTTTATGGGAGGAGGTTTCGAACTCCCATTTGTTGGGGAAAGAGAGGGCAGAGAGTGATGGGTAGCACTGATATAGTGCTTAAGACGATTGAGCAGATACAGCAAGTCAGATAGAGGTTACTGACAGCCTAGAGCCGTCAGAAGAGTTATGCGGATTGGCGGCGATCTGAGCTCGAGTTCCAGGTTGGAGATTTCGTACTCCTGAAGATATCTCCTTGGAAAGGAGTGATCCGATTCAGGAAGAGAGGCAAGCTGGGGCCCCGATACATTGGTCCGTTGAGGGTGACCGCGAGGGTGGGTAAGGTAGCATACCGTCTGGAGCTATCCGAGGAGTTGAGTCAGATCCGTGATACCTTCCATGTATCCCAGTTGAGGAAGTATATAGCCGATGAGACGATGGTTGTGCCGCTAGAGGATATTCAGGTGGACGCAAGTTTGAGTTACATTGAGAGGCCGATCGCGATCTTGGATCGGAAGGTTAAGGTTCTGAGGAACAAGAAGGTGCCCCTGGTTCAGGTCCAGTGCCAACATCGGAGAGGGTCCGAGCTGACCTGGGAGCCAGAGATGGAGATGCGGGAGCAGCATCCAGAGTTGTTTGCAGAGCGAGACTTTGAGGGCGAAGTCTGATTCTAGTGGGGGAGAATTGTAACATCTGGATTTCCAGGTATCATAAAATGAGTATTTATTTTTGAGTCAAGGAGAGGGACTCGACGAGTTGACGCATAGGCATAGGTATAGGCATAAGCATAGGCATAGGCATAGGCACAGGCATAGGCATAGGCACAGGCATAGGCAAGGGCATGGGCATGGGCATGGGCATAAGCATTGACATAGGCATAGGCATAGGCATAGGTATTGGCATAGGCATGGGCATGGGCATGGGCATGGGCATGGACATGGGCATGGGCATGAGCATGGGCATGGGCATGGGCATGGGCATTGTCATATGCATAGGTATAGGCATCGACATAGGCGTAGGCATAGGCATATGTATAGGCATGGCCATAGGCATGGGCATGGACACGGGCATAGGCATATGTATGTGCATAGGCATAGGCATAGGCGTATGGATACGCATAGGCATAGGCAAAGGCAAAGGTAAAGGCATATGCATATAAGCATAGGCATAGGCATATCCATAGGCATAGGCATATGCATAGGCATAGGAATGGGCATGGGCACGGGGATGGGCATGGGCATGGGCATGGGCATTGGCATGGGAAGGGCATAGGCATAGGCATATACATAGACATAGGCATAGGCATTGGCATAGGCATGGGCATGGGCATGGACATGGGTGTGTGCATGGGCATAGTCATAGGCATAGGCATAGGCATAGGCATGGGCATGGGCATAGGCATGGGCATGGGGATGGGCATGGACATGGGCATAGGCATGGGCATTGGCATTGGCATAGGCATGGGCTTAGGCATAGTCATTGGCATAGGCATAGGCATAGGCATAGGCATGAACATGGGCATGGGCATGGGCATGGGCATGGGCATGGGCATAAGCATATGCATGGGCATAAGCATAGGCATAGGTGTAATGCCCCATTTTCGTTATTTTTATTTATTTAAAAAATGGGGCTTAGCTTATTAAATGGTGGCTAAATAAATTAGAAGGCTAAGTGAAATAAATAATAAAATAATAAATGTTAAAATACAAAACTTAATAGATTTTGATATTTAATAATGATAATAAATAATGTACAACAATAATTATTAAGTACAAATTAAACATATAAGTATAGGGTTTAAATTGTAATTATTAAGAAATCAATTTTGATGAGGTATTTCAATATAGGATAGATTTTGTCATAAGGCTAAACCTAAGGGGTTATATCTGCCAGATCTCAGTTTCTATATTTATTCTTTCCCTGCTACCCGACAGGAACTAGTGCTTCCTTCTCTATTTTGTATCGTGCGAGAAGCACGTCTTATTGACGGAAATCTGTTGTCCAACCTCAACTTCTTGTATATATATTATTGTAATGAGAGCTAGGGTTAGGAAGTGAGCCGCATAAAGAAATATTAAGAGGAAGGGTGAAGCTTCCATTGCCATGTTTCACCGTCAGCCTCAGCTCTCGCCGAAAAGAACCATTTGAGAGAGTGAGAGAGATTGCAACGAATGGATCCAAGTGAGGTGTTGATTTCATGTTTAAGGTCATCGTTTCTGACCTATTTGATTGGGTTTATCATCGAGTGCTAGAAGGGATGCAACCACTAGTCTATGGCATCAGTCGGAACTCCCACTGGATCGTTAGTTGAGAGAAAGAGGTGGGGATTGTTTAGCGAGAATGGGATCATTTCGTCAGCACCAGCTCTGCGCGACACCCTGAACCTAGTGGGGATGCGCCTTCTGGTGGCTACGTCATCCTCCGACAATTTCGTGGGACTCCGATGAATCCCGTATGTTCTCCAGAGCAGCAAAGGCAGGTAAGGCTCAGTTTATGCTTTGATCTCTTATCTCTCACCGGTGACTTCAATTAGAGAGAGAGAGAGACTAATTGATGAGTTTTTACTCTGTTTTCTTGGCCTAATGCTTTTCCGGCGAATGTTTTGGGACCTCCAGCAGTAGCAGTAGGGAAGAAGACGATGTACTAGTTTCCGATGGCCAGAAAGAAGGTGGGGAAATCAATATCTGTCGGGGCGTGGGTTTGCAGAACTCATAACTTGGTTGTGGAGTTGCGTTTCCTGGTGGCGAGGAATTCAACCATGGTCCAAGGATTTCTCTTGTGCGCCGCCTGGAAGCTAGGTACGCTAATTGAACTCCTGTTGGGCTTAAATGGGTTGGTGAGTATCAAGTTAGGTAATGGGCTGGTGGTATGTAATTGACTATGCGAATTGGGCATATTTTAGAACATAATTAATCTAAATGGGATGATAACCTATGGCTGTGAAATTTATTTGTAATTTAATGGAATGATAATTTGAAATATATGGATTGAATTGCCCTGATTAAACGAAATATGTGTATAGATGAGACTTGAATTAAGCTCTAGCAAAAGTATGTGGGTTTAAATTATATTTAAACTAGATCGATAAATTATTTAACTATTTTTTTAGCTAATAGTCATATGAACTAAATGCACACGAGAATATTTGACTGGATTTGGAAGGGCAAAACGATTAAGGCTTTATTTGTTAATAATGTAAATAAATATGATACTAAGTAGTATTATGCAATAATTTTGAAGCATAAGCTAATTATAAATTATTGATATGGCTTGTAGGTGTTTAGGGAGCTGGACAATCCATCTTAATCACTTCAGTGGCTATTCGGTGATTTCTACTCAGGTGAGTCTCCTCACTGTTTGTATGGGTCCAAGGCACCAATGTCGGCCCATTTAGTTTATGTATGATAGGAAGACCCGGAGGTTAGCCCTAGGCATTATGCATGGAAGACCAGGAGGGGGCTCCTGGCACACAATATGTTATTATGTATGGTAGGAAGACCCGGGGGTTAGCCCTAGGTAATATGTATGAAAGACCAGGACGTGGCTCCTGGCACACTGTATGCTGATTAGCTAATTAGAGTAGTATGTATGCTAGTTGTCTTTGTGATGCTTGCATGGAAGACTAGGAGGTGACTCTTGGAACTTGTCTGTGAGACCGAGGGGGTGGGCTCGGGCTTGGCAAGAAAGACAACGTGGCGGCTCGTGGCAAAATGGCAAGACTATGTTTGGCACATAGCATCTTTACTGATTATGATATATGTGTGGCTCATGGTTATGTATGGTAGTATCCGGTTGAAAGAGACCGAAGGGGTAGGCCAACACCCAGATATGCTAGGCAGTATGTTGATGTATGGTTTTGGGGAACCCACTAAGCTTCATGCTTACGGTTTTCAGTTTTGGTTTCAGGTACTTCGTTTTCAAAGGAAACGAGCTGGCGATCGCAGCGCATCACACTATGTTTTTCCGCATATGAGATCTTTGGGATTACACTCTGATATTATTTATTGATAACATGTTTTGACTATTGACACTTTGGTTTTGACATAAGATGTTATTATCGATGTTTCTGTGCTTATGGTTTTATAATAACTTATTTAAAATGAAATTTTTGGCCTTGAATTTTGGGATGTTACAAGTTGGTATCAGAGCCATGGTTTGAGAGATTTTAATGTAACATTCGGATTTTCAGGGACATTATTGTGTATGTTAATCTTGGGATTGAAGGAGAGACTCGACGAGTTGAGGGATCAACTCGCCGAGTCGAGTCGAGTTGCTCGCGTGGAGTTAATAAGTGGACTCGACGAGTTACAGGAGGGACTCGCCGAGTAGGTGCTGGGCAGAGAAACCCTAATTGTACGGCCTATTTAAAGGCCCTTATGACCTTCATTTGCGGCCACACTTTCCCTTGAGAGACCCTAATCGATCCAGAGAGCAGAGAGAGAAAGAGGGAGCTAATTTTCTTCATGTTGGTGCATTCTTGCAAGGAAGAAGGAGAGGGTTCAAGCTAAGCTGACTTGAGAGGATCAGATCTTCTGCTATTTCATTCAAGGCTGCTATTTAAGATATGAATCCATACCTGTTTTCGTATGAATAGTCGATCTCATGAATTTAGGGTTTCTTTACCCTCTTTTAAGATGAGTTATGGAATATGTAAAGTCCCTTTGAGGCTTAGACATCAGATCTGGACCTTGAGAGGTCCAGAGAATCCCAAGAACCCAACTTTATGCAACCACATAAGATTATTGAGCCTAAGACACCATTATGGAGGTCATTTTATCAAATAGAGCAAGATGTGTGAGGCATGGACATAAAGATCGAACCTTTACGTGATTAATGAGCCTTGTGAGCATAGATCTGAAGTTTGGGAAAGTATCTTGCACTAAATTGGTCTGAATGCAAAAGAGTCTGAATAGACTCGCCGAGTTGAGCCGCTGACTCGGCGAGTAGCAAGGGTTTTGTCCCGATGAACTGATTCAGGTGGTGACCCGACAAGTTAGGGGTTAGCACGTCGAGTTGGAGCTTGCTGTGGTTGCCATGAATTAACTGGACTCGACGAGTCTCCCAAGTGCACTCGACGAGTCTGGTCAAAGATGGAGTTGACTTTTGTTGACCTTAGGGTTTGGTTAAGATGAGTGAAATAGGTCAGGAAGGGTAGAATGGTCTTTTACCCATCTGAGAGAGCATAGAAAGGGAATAGTCTAGCCTTTGAGAGCCATTGTTAATTAGAGGTAATTTCTGTATGTGATTAGGCGGAGGCTAGATCAGTGTTTCGAGTTCAAGATCATCCGAGTTTGCTTCGAGGTGAGTCTTCTCACTATACGTTACCTAGAGTGGTATTTATATGTGACTAGAAGGTCTTATGTGCTTACTTGAGTTATGCATCTTGTCTATGTGATATTATGCTATGAGTTATTTAGACCGGACCGGAAGGTCCAACGATATATGAGGCCGGAAGGCTCAACCAGACCGGACCAGAGGGTCCAACGAGCTACGGGACTGGAGAGTCCCGCTGAGACACAGTGACCAGAGGGCCGTACAGAGTATAGCCTCGAGTGGCAAATTGCTGTATGTGGTATTTTGGGGAACTCACTAAGCTTTGTGCTTACCGTGTTATGTGTATGTGTTTCAGGTTTCTTAGAAATTGTGGGACGACACCGGCTTGATTGTACACACCAGAGAAAGAGTTATGTTTTGAGGATCCTGGATTATTAATGGAGTTGTGTTCTGTAGTTTGAATAAACGAGGATTTTATACAATATGTTATGAAAAGTATGCGATTTTAAAATGAAAAATTTGTTTGAAAATTTACGTCGTTACAAGTTGGTATCAGAGCCTTGGTTTGAGGGATTCGGATGCACCTTCGGGTAAATCTGGACTCAAACTTAGGATTTGAGAAAAATTTTCAAAGAAATGATTTTTCTAAAACAATCAAGATTTTCTGAGGGAAAACGAGGAGGAGCAGTGTGTACAATCAGCCAGAGCCCGAACGGTGATTTCCCAAAATACCCTATTTTTGTGTTATGATATATTTTGTGATATTCTGCATGCTAGAGGATAGGCTAGGTATTTCATATTTTAGGACTAGAGTGGCCTGATTTGTGATGCCTTAGCCTAGGAATTGTTGTTATATATGATGTGCTTTCGAGTATGTGTTGAGTAAGGGTATCTAGCAGGAATAATTCAGAGATAGAGCTTCGAGTAGAGGAGTAATCTAGGAGAGATATCTAGATAAGCATTGGAGGAACCTGCTGAGAGAGTAGTTAGATGCCTGTGTGGGGAGAGTTTCTTGAGTCGGTAACACCTGTTGCGGCGAGTAGAGCAAATACAGTTGTAACCTAGAGTGGTTTTACGTGCTGGGAGAGATTATTCGATGCCCGAATGCTGCTTGCTTCATGCTTTGTGGAACTCTCGATGATGGGAGTCGGCTACCAAGTGAATGTGACGATATTCAGGAGGTAGATGGCTGGCATCACAAGGAGTTCTTCAGCAGCTGATGGTGGAAAAGAGTGAGAACTTAGGTAGTGCCTAAGGAGTTACCATGGTCAGATGAGTGCGCTGACAGAGTAGATCATTTCTCTAGAGAGTGAGCACGCGCGATAGGATTGGTGATTGAGAAGGTTGAGTAGCTACTTAGGAACTCTGGGATGGTCCGTGTAGAAAGTATGGGTAGATGTGGCAGGTAGTATCGGCCCGTACACTGAAAGCAGAGGACCCATACTCGATACAGGGAGTATTTCGGAGGATCTAAGTAGCAGTTTGAGAGGTGATGTCATGGTTCGGGCACCATGCTTTGTAGAAGATTGAGAGGTGATGTCATGGTTCGAGTACCATGATTTGTAGCAGATCGAAAGGTGATGTCATGGTTCAAGTACCATGATCGAGAGGTGATGACATGGTTTGAGTACCAAGACTCATGATGGTTAGTGCTTCTGGTTTACCAGTTATTCCGGTGTGGTAGGTCAGACTGAGATTAGATGCGAAAGAGTATGGGGCCAGAGGGCCATGTTGAATAAGTTTTGATGGAGCATACCTGGAGAGGGAAATCGAGTTAGTTTCTGAGGGATTTTTGGTGAGATGCCATTTAGAGTCGCAAGACACAGGGATGAGTAAAAGATGGTGATCTATGGAGGAGTACGGTCTGAATTGAGCAATCCGCCGATAAAGGAGATGTCACTTTCTGTGACCAGAGTTGTGCTATTTCCGTATCCTGTGAGGAGCAGAAGAGATATTGAGACTTTTGATTTCTGAGCTTGGGGGTAAACCATGTGGGGTAGCATTGATGGCGATCTTCCACCAGAGTATTTGGGCAGTATGTCTGCCGCGAGGTAATGATAGGGCATGAGCAGGTTGTCAGTGGGGACTGAGATGGTCAAGGACAAGGATACACCCTATTTGAGTATAGTAGGGCATGTAATAGCTGCAGCGTCGGACAATAAAGAGGAGGATATTGGGGCGGTGGCTCTTATTGTCTATGATGAGTATCGAGTGTGGTAATGAGGTCTCCGCTCTTATTACAACCCACGCGATGGAATTTTGGTTGAGGAGTCGAGGATGAGGAGGATGATAGTTCATTATTTTCAGATTAAGAGTCAGAGTTACTACTGGACAGTTGACATGTCCGGTAATGGGATGGTATGAGATTCTGTATGATTAGAGGCAATCATGATGAGAAGTTTCTGAGGATTTCATCTGAGGTTCGGGGTATTTGGAGTTGCGGGATCTCTATCGGGGAGACCACCGAGCATTACGTAGTACCTTCCAAGAGTAAGTGTGATGTTCCTGGTGGAAACAGTCTGTGGAATAAATTATTGGTGCGCCAATTGGTGATGGTTCGAACCCTGAGTGGGGGAGAACCGGATATTCTATCGAGAGGATCAGAGATTTGTTCAAGAGCAGTTAGGGAGCTAGATAGAGACATGCACTATGGATTCATGAGACCAGGGTTATTGGTGGTCGAGGTGAGTTCGAGAGGGAGTTAATGCATGTTGTACGCGTTCAACAAAAGGATGAGTGTCTGCACTGCAGGTGGCCGTTGGTCAGAGGCCTTGTGGTAGATAAGAATTTTTTGAGGTGGTTGGTTCGTAGGGATACTTCGGCAGTTGGGAAATTTTGGTTCGATGAATGGATTATTCTATGTTCTTTGGAAAGGGTAAGAGATGATCGGGCAACCAGCTTCAGAGTCGGTATGAATATTCTTGCAGAGGTTTGAGCAAAAGAGGAGGGAGTTTCGGATTGTCGACAACGTGTTCTGAGTCATCAGCGATTTCTCTGTGTTTCAAGTTGAGGGTTGGGATTTTCGAGGTTATAAGATGTGTGAGAGGAAGATCAGCTGTGAGATTCTGACAGAGTGCATTGCGGTATCTGTGTATGATGTCGTGAGTAGGAGATCAGTGGGGGGGGGGAGAAGACATCATGAGGTTCTGTGATGGTGTGTCGAGGCATCCGGGTATGATGTCCTAAATTTCGGATTATTTAGATTCTTGAGTTATTAGATGACGAGTGGTATATTAAGTGTCTATGGTTCCGGTGGGGGCCCTTCAGCTAATTGACTTCAAATGGGATTATCTGAAAATGTGAATTGCAGTGAGAAAAAGAGGTTTTTTCATGACAGTGGTCGTCCGAAGTAGTGATTCTTAGCCCGGATGGGTTTGTGTACCTATCTATGCTGGGCCGCGGAGCATGAGTGAGTTAACGTAGGGTGGCGTCGACTTGAGGATGAGATCGTGGGGTGGTAAGAGAAAGCACGGTAAGACTACGGGGAGCTGTAACATCCATGAGTTATTGCGAGAGAGTGTGGTGATACTGCGGGAAGCCGCAGTATTCGCCAGTTAGCAAGAGAGTGTTGCGATACTGCGGGGAGCCATAGTACTCACTAGTCAGAGAAAGGGTGTTATGATACTACAGGGAGCCGTAGTACTCACTAGTCAGAGAAAGGGTGTTGTGATACTACGGGGAGCCGTAGTAATCACTAGTCAGAGAGAGGGTGTTGTGATACTGCGGGGAGCCATAGTACTCACTAGTCAGCGAGGGGGAGTTGTGATACTGCGGGGATCCATAGTACTCGCTAGCCAGTGAGAGAGTGTCGTACTGCTGTGGGGAGTCGTTTTATTCGTTAGTGAGAGAATGTCACAGGAATGTTCCTAGGCTTGAGTAGCCTTAT